CTTCCTTGCTATGCCTGAGACGAGGCTTAAAATCATGCTGGGAACACTGGGTGCTTTCCTCAGTGTGGACAGGAAGCAGAGAGAAGATAAGAGGGCCAGAGACAAGATGTTAGCCCAGCAGCAACACTTCCCCTCAGTGACCTACTTCCTTCAGGTAGGTCTCCTGCCTAAAGTTCTCACCGCCTTTTAACAATGCCTTCAAAGCACAGAGCTATCAATGGGCTAACCCACAAATCACTTCAGAGTCCCCAAGAACCAATCACCTTCCAGGGTCCTCCACACTGAACATTCTGCACTAGGGATTCTGTAGACATTGGAGGGACACTTCATTTCCCAACCATAGTTCTGCCGTGGTTAGTTATAACAATCAGCTCTGCACAGCTTGGAATCACCTTGGAACAGTCTCATTGGGGACCGTCTAGACAGGGTGGCCTGTGCATGCCTGGGAGGTGTTGTTTTGATGACCTCAGCTGATGCAGCAGAGGCAACCTTAAAGTGGGCAGCACTGCCACCCACTCAGGAGGCCCTGGGTTCTCAGAGTGGAGCAATGGAGCTGAGCACAGGCATGCATGACATGCATGGCTCATTCTCTCTGTTGTTGACTATTGGGGGATTTATTAAGGCAACTCCACGTAATTAAAAGAGAGGTTTATTTGGGGGTAACTTACAAGTAAAGGGATTGGTTACAGGATCTAGGAGAGGTGAAGTGCTGTCCAGCAGTGTTCTCTGGAGAACTCTGCTCAGTCTACCATCCTGCATCCCGGATCACCAGGAACCAAGAGCACCAGTACATCCAGTCTTAAGGGCTCCCGTCCAGCCCCACCTCAGGGGCAGGTCATAGGTAGGCGTGACAGTTACTGGAAGCCTCACTGGAGGTAGTACTTCCAGGTCAAAGCTGGAACAGCTACCTACTACTGTTGACTGTGGATGTCATGTGACTAGCTGCTTTAAGTTCCTGCCTCGACTTCTCCGAAATGGTGACATGAAACTGTGAGCTAAACTACGCCCTTTCTCCCTTGAGTCGTCTTTTGTCATGGTATTCAAAAGAAAAGAAACTACTGGACTCCTGGAGCTTGCCCTGGTGTTTGGCTGTGGATCTCTGCATCTGCCTCCATCAGTCACTGGAGAAAGGCTCTATGATGACAGTTAGGGTATTCACTGATCTGATTACTGGGGTAAGCCAGTTCAGGCATCCTCTCCACCATTGCCAGTAGTCTAAGCTGGGATCATCCCTGTGAATTCCTGGGAACTTCCCTGGCACTTGGTTCCTCGCTATACCCATGATGTCTCCCTCTATCATGATATCTGTCTCATTGCTTTCCCACTCCAACTCTGTTCCAGCTTGGCCATCGCATTCCGCCACGTTCTCATCCCCCCATCCCCTACCCTCCACTGCCCACCCCTCATCCCCAGTTCACTCATGGAGATCTCATCTATTTCCCTTCCCAGGGCAATCCATGCATCCCTCTTTGGGTCCTCCTTGTTAGCTAACTTCTCTAGAGCTGTAGGTTGTAGTCTGGTTATCCTTTGCTTTACATCTAGTATCTACTTATGAGTGAGTACATGCCATGTCTGGCCAAAGAGAGAAAAGAGGGATTCTGTGAGCAAGGGGCATCAGGATCATGATGGGGAAACTTACAGAGACAGCTGGAACAAGCTGGTGGGAACTCATGAAATCTGGATCAACAGCTGTGGAGCCTACATGAGATGGACTGGGCCCTCTGCATAACAAGACAGTTGTGTGGCATGCTCTGCTTAAGCGGCACCCTGGTGGTAGGATCAGAATCCATCCTTGGTACATTAGCAAGTCTTTTGGAGCCCACTTCTATGATGGGACACCTTGCACAGCCTTGAGGTAGGGGGAGGGGCTTGGACCTGCCTCTACTAAGTGTACCTCCCAATAGGAGGCCTTACCTTATTGTAGAATGGAATGGGAGGTGGATTTGGAAGGGGAGGCTGGAGGGACGGGAGAAGGGAAGAGGGGGATCTTTGGTATGTAAAATGAATTAAAAATTTTTTCTTTAAAAAAAGAAAAAAGAAAAGAAAACAAGCTTACTCCTAATTTATTCACATCAGGAGGCTTCATTATTTAATCTATTCAAACCTTTTCATTAAGAAATTCTTGCCGGGCGGTGGTGGCGCACGCCTTTAATTCCAGCAGTCGGGAGGCAGAGGCAGGCGGATCTCTGTGAGTTCGAGGCCAGCCTGGGCTACCAAGTGAGCTCCAGGAAAGGCACAAAGCTACGCAGAGAAACCCTGTCTCGAAAAACCAAAAAAAAAGAAAAAAAGAAACTCTTTTTTTTTTTTTAATATTTAATGTATCTAAATTTTTTATTTTGGAAATATTTTTTATTTATTTCATCTATTTTAGCTTTCTTGCTACTGTAGTCTGGTGGATAAAACCAAAGGCCTCGTGAAGCAACAAACCTAACCTTAAGCTCTGGTTTTATCACTTAAGAAGTGTGTGATTTTGAGAAATAAACTCTAATACAGAACCTAGATTTTTAAAAAATGGCAACCTCTTAGAGTTACTGTGAGATGCATGAGTCACATGACTCTCCGACCCATCACAAGCAGATAATACAGAGAACTTCTATCATCACACGGTTCTTTCTGTGTTCAAATCTTAACCATTTTTCAAAGTCTCTCTCAAGTCCCACTTCTTCTCTGAGCCCTCCAAAACTTCATCCTCCCGTCTCCGTTCTCTTGGAGAACTCTGATGTGCATTCATCCCAGGGATGGCTTCTGACCCACAACACAGAGTGGTCACTTAAGAAAGTCTTTAATAAGTTGATCGATGATGTAAAGGGGAAAAGAAATCATGGCAGCTGCTACTGATGGGCGACCCCACTTCCTCTCAGCCCACCAACATGTGCTTACGGTTATGGGGACAAGTGTGCAATGGCTCCCCACAAGCACGGGCAGAAGAAGTTCTCGGATGACCACAGCTGCCTGCCACAGTGTCCTGCTCTTCCTTGTCTCCTTTATCATCCTTAACCTTTCCAGAGTCCAGCCAATTGCCCCTGTGGAAGCTTCTAGAGCCATCCCCACCTCCAAACAAAGCACATGCATCAAAGTCTGGTTTCAGATGTTGATTTTGGATAAATTAAAGAGCTAGCATTACTGAATCCATGGTGTGTTCTGAGCGCATACCAGATGTTCCATTTCCATTATCTTCTTTTGCAAACTCAATATTCTATGTATTTTATACCATTATTTCTGTGCTTTAGTAGCTAATTAGAAAGTTGAGGTTCAAAATAAGTCAATAATTTGATCTGGGTTATAGACAATAAGAAATAGATACCTATATATGGTGGCTACTCTCCAGGCCCCAGTCCTTACTGAGGACCTTCTGGCCATTGGCAATGCCAAGAGAAGGGAGTGTCACCCTCTCTGAGGGTGTGGCAGTGGTTGCTCATATTCCTCTGAATGGCTCCACACCCACGCACATATGAGCAACACTAACTGGACTTATTAAATAACTAGGTTATTAAAACAAAAGACATAGAATTGAGATGGGGAGAGTTGGAGGAGCAGTTGGGTGGAGGCGGTCACATTGCATTGTATATATGCATGAAATCCTCAAGAGTAAAGAAAATTATATAAAAGGAGTCAGATGCCTAATTCTCAGTTAATGATTATTTAGGAAAACAGCATAAAACATTTTAAGCTGAAAAAGGCACATTGAAGCACAGAGTTGGATATAATTGGATCTTTGCATTAGGGTTGGCCAGTACGTAACAAACCAAAGCACAGAGACAGTGTAATAAGGATCTCAGTGAGCACTGAGCACTTAGATGTTGTTTACACACCGAGTTACAGTTATTTCTTTATTCTGGAAAATAAGGACAGGAAGACATGGTGCCGGAGAGCCCCTCAGATCTCACAAGATGGCATCGAAGATGGAGCTGATTTGGCCTCTGTGACATTAGAGAGAAGCAGACAAGGGAGCCTTCCTGGAACTTAGACGCTGGAGAGGAAAGCTGGGCTGACGAGAAAAATACTGAAAAAAAAAATCCTCTTTCTTATTACAGTCCTCATTTGGAAAATTGATTTTTTTTATCATCTCAAATCACATCAGCCACATGCATAAGGGTGACTGAATATTAAGGCAAACTGTCACATCCAATAAGTGTGGGGAAGGAGATGGCTGATCAGTGTTATCAGAGGCAAATGATATGTTTTCAGCTGCAGCCTAGACTTTTAGCAACTGTGTTTTTCAAACTTTGAGAAGATAGAGAAATTCAGTTAGAATTAACAAGTATTAGCTAGTGTAGTGATGGGTGCTACTTTTTGATGGTCTGTCATCTACCTGTCAGGCCAAGTTTATAACCACGCAAAAACAAACCAAAAAGGACTATGCGTTTGCATGAAGCAGAGCCCAGCATCTCCCCAGAAAATGTGGCTGAGTCCTCATCATACTGAGGTCAGGGACGCATGGTATTCGTATTAAGCTCTGAGATTACCGGACAAATGCCTGGCAGATCTTTCCTGGCGGCTGCCTCCGCTGTGTCCTTGTTTGCCTTTTGAATGTCCTATGAAATCAGAGAGCTAGTCGGTTCACTCTGCTGAATTTTTAAGTGTTTTTCACTTCTGTATCCCCCCAAAGCATTACATCATGCTGCCTGGAGTCAATCTATCAGCTCTGGCATGAAGTCATTTGTGTCTGAGCTTTAGAAAAGGCATCTTTTTTTTTCCAAGAGAGCTTTTGTCTGTGCCCTCTCCTCCTCATTTTAATAACTGTCATTTTCTAAGTGCATTACCTCATGTTTTGGCTGCAACCCAGATGAATCTGGAGAGAAGAAAAACGTGCTTTCAGACCAATTCATCCATATTTTATTTTACTTTTCATTAAGAAATTACTCTTTGAAGAAAATCAATAATGTTCTATGACTGAGGGGGAAGAGGTGAGCGTTGCCGTGGCAATTCGAATCTCTCAAATCAGACTGCCTCCAGCCAGATGTTGCTGATGGGGACTTTGTCCTTTTTTGTTCCCGCAGCTTGGACACATGGTGACCCCAGGAGAGTGGCCTATCCTACAGACAGCCAGGGACACTTTTGTGGCCAGAAGGGAACCTCCAATGAGTGAGTATGGCCACTGTGTCTTCTGTGGCTTTACTGTAACGGTAACCTAAATGCATTAGCATCAGTCCCGTGGGATCCCTGGGGAAGGCTGACACTCATGAAGGAAGCTTCTGCTGTCTCCTTTCTTACAGACAGCCAAAAGTGGTTTGGAGTTTTCATTCTCTGCATCTCTTATCAGGGAAAATAAAATTCTAAACCAAGGATGGGACCAGGGACTTGCTAGTCATATTTAGAGCATGTCCTTCGGATAGGGATATTGTATGGCGGTATTGAGCAGCTTCTGAAATGCATGCACCATGCACTATTTGGCCATTTTGCCATAATGTTTACTAACAATCATTCTGCCTTTTGAAGTATCTTCAGATCTTCAGTGATCTTGGAGGATAACTCATCAGTGAACAGTGCCCTGATAGCTAAAAAATGTGTCCAATATCAATCAAAACATTAGTGTCTCTGTTTGAAAGCAAGTTTTCTATTATTTACCTAAAATCAAGCAGACAGACAAAAGCCACGTCTCACATTTTTAGAAAGCCTTTACCTCTTCTCATGGTCCATTTCTTTCTTGTTTCTTCACTAATGGGCTTGATGCTAGATCTTCTCATTCTTTGGAACCAGTTGAGTTTCTGTGATTGCTGGTTTTGGGTAGTTATGGAAAAACAAAAGGCCAGTTAACAACAGGGTCTCCACCGACAAGTCCAGCCGCCTGTCATGTCTCTGCAGTGCCACCCAGAACCGAGAATGTGTTATGCCAGGAGATACATAGATTTAAAGACAGACACTCAGTAAAGAGCTGAAGAATTCATGGGGTAGAATAACAGCAGATAACAGAGAAAACTGAAATCTGGAGGAGTAAGAAAGTTTCCCTTATAAAAGACCTCTGAGTAACAGACACCTGGACTAAATTAATCCAGACTGTAGTTGTATTTTAACCTTGGAAACCTAAAACAAACAAACAAACAAAAAACAAAACAAAACAAAACAAAAAATAACCCCTGAGACTTTTACACTGTGGGGGGCAAAGAAAGCACCAGGTGGTGAGAGAAGAAAACACAGAAATCTGTGACTCCTCAGTTTCTTTGAAACAGGCTGTTTTTAGAAGGGTTTCTGTAACAAGTCTTCCAGGCCTAAGTCCCTGACCTACTTATGTCAGACAAGAGGCTGCACCCCAAATTTCAGTATATAAAGACTGTCCAGAGGTGACTCTTGCCTACCAGATTATTCATTCAAATGAAGCGTCTGATAAATATAAATTTAAAATGGAACATATCCCAACAAGATGTGAGTGACAGTTCTGGTCCATCCATTTAACAAAATCTAACAGATCCACTGGAGAAAGTGCTCATGACAGCCAATTTTCTTCATATTTCCTTTTATTTGCATCTGTGTTATGATGCTGCTAATAGTGTTATATCACAGCAGTTGTAACGCTGACTAAGACAGATCCCCCTGGAATTGATGCTTATGCTTACAGAGTTAATGATAAGTGAAAATACCTATAGAAAATCAAACTTGACTCAGTATTAAAATTTTTAGGTAAGAGGCTGGAGAGGTAGCACAGTGGGTAAGAACGCTGGCTGCTCTTCCGGAGGACCCAGGTTCAATTCCTAGCACCCATATGGAGGCTCACAAGCACCTTAAACTCCAGTTTCAGGGGCTCTAGTGCCCTCTTCTAGCCTCCACAGGCATTGTAAGCACATGATGTACAGCTGTACGTGCAGGCAAGACACCCATATACATACAATAAAAATAAAGGTTTTCTTTCTTTTTTAACTTAAGGGGCTAGAAAGACATTCGGCAGTTAGGAGTGTTTACTGGTCTTACAGAGAGATCCCAAGAATGGTCTCCAGTCCCAGGGGATTACAGCCCTCTTCTGGCCTCCACCAGCAACAGGCAATGTACACAGTGCACATAAAACACATGCAAGCAAAACATAAGATAAAATAAATAAATCTGAAAACTTAAATATGTATAGGTGTAATTAAATAAAATATATCTAAGGAAAATGTTAGGCTAAATTCATCACAATAATCACATTATTCTAAAGTGTAGAATGGTAATAAAACTGGGTAAAAATAAATCCAACTGTAGATACGTTTTCCTCAGGGTTGGTGACAGACTCTAGGGCCTGCACATGGAGACGAGTACTCTACCTGAGCCATAAATCTGGCCCCTATTTACTTAATTATTTATCTGTTTTGGAACAGAGTCTCACTAAGTTGCCTATGGTGACCTTGAGCTCACTCCTGAACCAAGGCACTGAACTTGCCATCTGCCTCCCTGTGCCTCTGGCCTAGCTGAGGTTACAGCCTGTGCCACTGGATTTGGAACTCAACCAGATTTTCTGTGATAGAGATAGAATTTCAAGTCAGTACCCAGAAAATACATTATTAAGGGAATGGAATGGAATTAAATGAAATGCTGTTCACGGATGTAAAATTATATGTATATCATAATTCATACCTAAAAGAATACAGGAGCAGTGAGGGTTTTATGTGCATATAAGATAAAAATCATAAAGTAACAGCAGCCAGGGGCATATTTATAAGACTGTGGGCTAGGAGCTCAGACCAGGATCCAAAAAGACAAGTGAGGAGCTGTGTTGTTCTCCAACAGGATCTCCTTGGGATTTTACTCGGTTTCTCTGGATATTTCTTCAGTAAGACTTTAAAACATCCAAACAAGAATGTCATCCAAACAAGAAATAATGAACGACCAGCAGTTTGGGTGGGTTTCAAAGGATCCCAGATTTTGGGAAATGACAGAAAAGTCAGAACTGACAAGAAGTTTCTAGCCATGTTCCACAACCAAAAGTTTAAGTTGAACCATGTTGGTCAAAGATATGGAAGACTCGAAACGCGTCCATGACCTTTCAGGCTCTGATTCCGATCTCTCTGATGAAGAAAGTAAAACACCAAACCAAAAGAAAGTAAAGCAGAAAAAGAAAAGAGAAGTGAAGTAAAAAAGGTTGATTAAGGAGAAAATGAAAGAAATCAAGAAAACTGATCAAAAGCATCCCATAAATAAAAATAAAGACTTAGATAATTCTGAAAACATTTAGAAAATGAAAAACTGTAAATCTCAGAAGATGAGTTCAGAAATAAGTGCCAAGAAGGATGGTGAAGAATTTTTGCAAAATACAAAACAGAAAAGGGACATCCTTGACCACATTGTGGACTCTCTGCCCAAAGGAGAACTAAGGACCAAAGATCCAGTACCTCTGAGACAGTGAAATCTCCAACAATCACTTGTTCTGAGGCAAGAAGAGAAAAGCAGCCCAGTGGTTCTCAGCACTGGCTCTTCTGTATTACACTATCTTACTGTTTTAAGAAGGAAACAATAATTGTTTTGTAGTATGATGAGAACAGTCAAGTGTTTAAAATATAAAGCTATGAGATAAATACTATAAAATCCTTTAAAATATAAAGCTGAAAGAAACAATAAAAAGCAAATAAAACTATGGGCTAAACAACAACTTCTAAACATAAAAGCAAAACCAAAAACACAACAGAAATTTTGAAGAATTCTGTCATTGAAAGTAAGCCACCAAAAGGGGCAGCCATTGTGACTCATCCCTGTAATCCCAGCACTCAGGGCAAAGGCAGGTGGAGCTCTGTGAGTTCAAGGCCAGCCTGGGCTACAGAGTGAGTTCTAGAATAACCAGACCAGAGAAACCTTGTCTTAAGAGGGGAAAAAAGGAAACCACCAAAATCATTTTAAACAAAATTAAAGATAAGTGGCCGTCCAGGAAAAACAAACACATTCAGCAAACATTCATGACAAATGGAACAATGGCTTTATGATCTGAACACAGAAACCACAAGTGAAAGGATGTCCACCCAGGGGCCTGCAAGGTGCCTGAGCTGGTAAGGATGCTTACTGTGCAAGCCCGATGACCTGGCTCTGAGCCCAGAAACCCGTGTAAAGGGGAAAGGAGAAAACCAGCTCTGGGAAGTTGTTCTCTGGCTCCCACGAGCATGAATGCACACACACACACACACACACACACACACACACACACACACACCACAACATATCAACGTAAAAACACAAAAGCCGATCTCCACTGAAAACGAGACAAAAGTCACAAGCAAGAAATAGCATACGGCAATGTCCAGTGGCAACAGGAAACTTGTCACAGTTCAAAAGAGAAATGCAAATTTGAAAATTGTTTTGCCCATGAGATTGTCAAATAAATCAAAGATGTTAAAATGTCCAGTGTTTTGTGGAGTGAGAAATACGCACCCTGCTGTCTGCTGCTGGCAGTGTACTATGGTGGTATTTGCAAGGTTTTATCAAACACTCACCAACATTTACTCTTTCGTGATTCAACAGTTTTCTGCCTAGAAACTAACTGAATGAAGAACTGAAGCATCTTTTAAAACTATATGAGCTGTATTAGCTTTCCATCACTCTGAGAAAATACATAAAAAAAAAACAAGTTAAGAAAGGAAAACTTTGCTCTGCCTCATGGTTTCAAAAGTTTCAGTTCATGCTTTCGTGGTCCTAAACTTTCGCCTTACTTGGTGGCTGCACAGTACACTAAGGTGGAAGCCTGCAGCAGATGAGGTATGATCATCTCATGAAAGCCAAAAAGCAAAGAAACAAAAACCAGCCAGGGTCCCATCTGCCTGTCAGGGGCCCCATCTGCCTGTCAGGGGCCCCACCTCCCCCTTAGAGGCCCCATTGTAGCTGGAGAGTTTTCTCTCCGGGTCCCACCAAGCCCCGGCAGTCTGACAGCCCACTTATAAAATAAACACGCAGACGCTTATATTATTTAAACTGTTTGGCCGTGGCAGGCTTCTTGCTAACTGTTCTTATATCTTAAATTAACCCATTTCTATAAATCTATACCTTATCAAATGGCTTGTGGCTTACCGGCATCTTCACATGCTGCTTGTCATGGTGGCAGCTGGCAGTGTCTCCCTCACTCAGCCTTCCACTTCCCAGAATTCTCCTCTCTCTTTGTCCCACCTATACTTCTGGCCTGGCCACTGGCCAATCAATGTTTTATTTATACGGAACGATATCCACAGCGATATCCAAAACGATTTCCTTTTTTTTTTTCAAAAAGGAAGGTTTTAACTTTTACATAGTAAAATTACAGCTAACAAAACAATTACCAAGTAAGAATTACAGTTATAATACCTAGTCTATTTATAATAACTAGTGTATTTGGCAAAACTAAAGAAGATATCCTAGCTATCTTATATTTGTGAGTCTAAGGTTTTATATCTAACTTATCTTTTATCATAACTAAGGAAAATTGGAAGTATCCAGCTTCAACTACATCAAAGACCTCAGAAGGATATACTGTTACCTGAGAAATGAGAGAAGGATATAAGCAACTTTTGGGAGTCTTGAGAGAGTAGACAGAGACAGCTGGCAGCCTGGACAGTCATCCAAAATTCTCTTGTAAAGTTGGGGCATCTGTCTTCAGCCCACAGGCCTAGAGTCTCTCAGTCATTTCTCTCTGTGTCCTGTACAATATCTGGCAGTTTCCTCTGTAAAGCAGGAACCTGAAGGACCATTTTGTCAAGCAAAGTTCAGTGGTCACCTTTTTATGGGTCCTGCATGTCCAGTCAATACATTTTTTCAAGCAGTCTGGGCAAGAACAGTTTCTTGCCCATATGGCTATTTTTGCCAAGGTGAAGATAAACTTCATAGGCCATATGAAGACAGTATGAGAGATTCACACTGTCTCTTGTCACAGCCAAAACAGGAGCAGTGAAACTAAACAACAGAATGTAGTGAGTACAGTGCAGGCGTCAGAACAGAACGCAGTCTACCGGTCTGTCCAAAGAGATGGATGAGATGGGCTATGATACGATTAAAGAAATACCAATCATCTTTAACTATGTAACTGTTACTGTGTAGAGGTGTGTTTTTGACGTGGAAGTGTGCCTGATATGGTGTCAATTCAGGATGTCAGGCTAGGCCAGAGCGGTGGCTTAGTGGTAAAGGCACTTGCTGCCATGCCTGGCCCCGGAGTCCAATCCCTGGAACCCGTATGGTGGAAGGAGAGAACTCAGTGCGCCCTGCAGTCGTCCTCAGCCGTCCACAGGAGGACTGGGGAAGTGACCTAGTAACGCGCCTGCTGCCTGAGCACCTGGATCTGGGCTCAGTCCCTTCAACCCATGTTTAAAAGGCCGGGTGTGGTGGCCCATGCTTGTGTTCTCAGTGCTGGGCCATCAGAGGCAGGCAGATCGCTCGGGGTCATCTGCCGGCCAGCCTAGCCTACTTGGTGAGCTCCGGGTCAGTTAGGAACCCTGTCTTTAAATAAAATGTGGATAATGCCTGAGGAATGACATCTGTGGTTGACCTGTGGCCTGTGTGTGTGTGTGTGTGTGTGTGTGTGTGTGTGTGTGTGTGTGTGTGTGTGTATGCTAAATGAATGTGCATGCTTCTGTGCCAGAACGCAGTGGGTGCATCTCAGGCCGAGTAAATTGTTTAGGTAAAGCCATGCCAGGGCCACTGGAGTGATGACCTTGCAGCTGTCCTTGGGTCTCATATGTAGGAGAGATTCCTCATAACTGGGCGTAGAGCCTGTGTTTGGAGAGGGCATCGTCAGATGGAGAAGAATCCGGCCTTTTGTTTCACCTGCGCCCAACCAAAAGGACTGTGTGAGAAACACTGGTTTCCTGAAATGCCAAACCAGATGAAACCCCAGCTCCAGAGGGCACATATGCTTTGCCTCAGTGTGTAACTCTCAATGCCTTTCAGCACAGGAAGCTACTCCTGACCTGTGGCTTGAAGACCTTGTTCTTCAGTATTTCCACTAAAAGGTGGAAATTTGGTTGATTGTACCGCCACCTTCTGGCCACTACAAGAACTTCGGCTCATGAAGATTGCTGGGCTTTCAACACGGATACGACAGAAGACTGAGTCAGAGATTGAGCGCGCGCGCGCGCACACACACACACACACACACACACACACACACACACACACACACACACACACACCTTCCATTAAACGTGTGTCAACATCATTCCCAATGACAGTGTGATCTTCTGCCTTGTGATAAACCCTTTCTTGTTGGTGGACAATCTATTTCAACTTTTAATAATCACAAAACAATGCTGTGATTGTTAGGCGGTTTGAGAATATGCTGCACCCATATACAGAAGATAAAGCTGGTATTTAAAGGCAAGGCATTAAAAGCGTCTGTGGTTTGAGGTGCTGTAGGGCACTCCCACTGTCACTGATAAAAACTGTGTGTGTTTTCTTTTGTTAACAGGAACAAGACCATTTTGTTTTACTTTAACCTATTCAGGTGTACCGGTTCTTCCATGATGCCGAGGCTACAGTGCCCTACTACCCAGGTAAGGCGAAGGCTGCCTTCATGGTGGTGTTAGGAGTCGCCAACATTCATGGTGAATTCAGAAACTCCATGTTGAGTCTGTCTGTGTGGTAGGAACATGGAGCCTGATATCATGTCCATTTACATTTAATCAAAGCTATGGCAGAGATGAATGATTTCAGAGTTACCAGGGAACCTTGGAGATGGTAACCATTTGCTCTTATAAGTAACCACAGCCCATAAGTCCTTGTCTGGGGCTCCAATCATTTCTGTGTCTTTGGATTCATTTATTGAGGAGTTGTGAATGTTTGGAAGAGCCATGTTGTCTTGCTTTTTCATGATTTCTAAACTGTGATTTGTGCATCTGTTAAGATGTGTGTCTCTTCCTAGTTGTTGGGGTTGTCTACATAAGCAGCCTTCTCTGAAAGGCTGCATCTGTAGAGAGGAGAAACAAACCCCAGGTAGAGAACTCTGGTTAAATCAAGTGAAATCTTCTACTATACCACCAATACACATAGAGAGGAAAATTGCTTAAAATAATGGAGAAAAGATATGAAGTTAAAATCAACTGAGATCATAATGAATGAAATAAAGGAAAGTGGTGAGAAAGGAGAAAAGGGGGAATCAAAGTTAAATAGCAGCAGAAGAAGAGAAAGAGCATGGGATGGGGAGAGAAATAATGCATGATTAGAAATTAGAGAAAACATGTCAAAATTAGATAAAAGAGGAGGAAGAAACACAAATATTTTAATGACATAAAAAATACTAAAAATATAATAGAAAAAAGTATAAAAATAAAAAGTCTTGAGACTTGAGGCTCCTCTGCCAGGTCCTCTGATGATGGGATCTGTGTGTGGAGGGTGGCTGTAGCTGGAGTTTCTGGTCATTCCTGTCATGCAGGCTGGAACTGTTTGTTGGCTGAGCTCCTGGCCAGTTACCTGCTTTGCTGGCTTTAGATGCTTCCTTTCTCTGCATATCAAGAGGGACCACTAGCTTCCCTGAGCTCTGTAGCCTGTGACACTATTGGAAGATTTATGAAGGCAACTCCAGTAGTTAAAAGGGAGGTTTATCTTGGGGGGTAACTTACAGCTAGTAAAGGGGTTGGTTACAGGATCTGGGAGAGGTGTGGTGCAGCCCAGCTCTGGAGACCTCCGCTCAGTCTACCATCCAGCGTCCAGGATCATCAACAACCAAAAGAGCCAGCACATCCAGATCTCGGGTCTTAAAGGGCTCCCATCTCGGCCCGGTCTCAGGGGCCAGTCATAGGTAGGCGTGACAGTTCCTGGAAGCCTTACTGAAGGTAGTACTTCCAGGTCAAAGCTAGAACAGCTACCCACTACATGACAGTCTAGAAGATACTCCCACATTCCCCTCTAAGCAGAAAGCTCTATGAGGTCAAATAAATAAATAAGCCCAGACAAGGCAAGGTGAAACAAAACTCCTCTAAGCGCTGCCCTCGGCCATCTGCCTTCTTTGAAGGAGGCAGGCAGGCTCCTGCTGCTGAGTCTCTACTTCCTTCGCCGAGATGAGTACTCTTCTTCCAGATGGCTCCCTGGATCAACCACCAATACGCAAATCTTTCTATAATTGCTATCTTTCTAGTGAGATCATGTGTGTGCAAATGTGTACGTGTGCCTGTGAAGACCAGAGGCTGACTTGGAGTGCCCTCTATTTCTCTCAACCTTATTTTTTGAGGCAGGGTTTCTCACTGAACCCAAAGCTCACGGATTCAGCTAGGCTGGCTAGCCAGAGACCCCAGTGATCTAGGGTCTGTCCCCAAGCTCTGAAACCACAGGCCTGATGCTACACCTAGCTTTTCACATGGGTGCTAAGGATCCAAACTCATGTCCTCAGGCTTGTATGAAGGTAATTTACTGACTGAAAAGCCCAAGACCTCTCACTTAAAATGGAGCTGCACCCATCTGCCCCTCACTCTTGAATCTCTTTTCTAGCCCTCAGTAGCAATCAAATGGTTCACTGTCTTTCTCCCTGTGCTAAAGGCCAAACACCTTGTGGATAAGGCTTCTCATCTGTTTTGTTTACCGCTGTGTTCACACTACCTTCAAACCCCAGAGTAGATGATTAATAAGTATCTGTAGAATGAAGGAATTACTAAGTCAATGAATGACTATCTTCCTACTCTTTCCACTATACCATACAGACCAATGTTCCTGTAATAAAACAAAAATGACATGTTTATTATTTTCATAAATGATTTCCTAGATTATGTAGGAAACATACATAGCAAATGTAGTATTTTAATCTTCAGGGCAACCCACTCTCCCAGGCATCTAATTCTTATTTATAATAGTGTTCAAACCTCTGGAATTGATGATGTAACAGCAGGGATGAAGAATGATGCTGAAAGAGCCCTGTGAAATGCATAGGGATCACAACTCAGTACGATATGTCTCGACTGCAGTGTTGCATGCTGCATCTATCAGCCCCGCAACAGTGTATTTATACATCAGAGCTGTATTCTATGCGTTATGTTCTTATCAACTGGCAGCATGGTCCAGACATGTGTCACAGGCACTTGAAGAACAGCCCAGGATCAATTAGGACACCCAGCCTCAGTGTGACCTTCTTCTGTGGCTAATTATACGTTGATTGCTTCTAATCAGCATCCCATTTGAAGTGAACAAATTGGTCTGATGGAAGGAAAGAAGAAAGAGCAGTTGCTGTGGTGTTTTTTTTTTTAACAGCTGATTTGTGTTTGGAATGAAGTTTGATGTGATTCTCTTTGACAAACTACTTTTTCCATTTTAATTGCTTTCTTTTATGTGTTGTATATGCACCAGTTTGTATGTGTAGAATACATGTGCGTGTATTTGTGAGTGTAGGATTGCCAGGGTCCCAGAAGCAGTACCTCACATTATATGAAGCTCAATAAAATATTAACTCTTTGAGTTCTCACTTTTTAAATATGCCAAAATGTAGCCATCTACTTGAGTCTTTCACCATCTTACAAGCAAAGAATCAAAGATAACATGTCTCTGAGGTATGTCCTAATATGAGCATGATTTAGTCCACTTGGCTCCAATCAGAGTCAACTTTTCCCAGTCACACTGACAATAACTTTGACCTTCTTTTTTTTTTTTTGGTTTTTCGAGACAGGGTTTCTCTGTGTAGCTTTGCGCCTTTCCTGGAGCTCACTTGGTAGCCCAGGCTGGCCTCGAA